GTGTCTGTTTGTAATATTGAAATAAACATTTTTTACTACATGCATATGAATATAAATACGGTACCTACATATACCAAAATATTTTTTTTACAATTTTTGTCTGTCTGTCTGTTTGTTCCGGCTAATCTCTGAAATGGCTGGACCGATGTTGACGAGACTTCTATTGGCAGGTAGCTGATGTAATAAGGAGTCACTTAGGGTAGCCTAAGTGACTCCTTGGAATTTAAGTTTATTTTTCTGAAATAAAAGTAGTTTTATTTCAGAAAAATAAAGTTAAATTCCAGGCGGCCGTGTGTTTACCTGTCACGGTTTTTGTCTGTGTTGGACTCCTAAACTACTGAACCGATTGCAAATTTGATTTGCACATTGTTTGCAATTTGATCCAACTTGAAAGATAGGATAGCTTACATCTCAATTTATAGTCGCAATATTATTTTATTCAACAACCTTAGCCACAGCAATGCGTGACCGGATCTGTTAGTAGCATAAATAATTTAAAACAACAATGTAAAAAAATACTATGATCCAGATCGATCTTCGATCGATCGAAATAGAAATAATCTTTATTCAAATAAACTTAATATAAACACTTTTGAATAGTCAAGTTTTTTTATTCTACCACTCATTTGGAATGCAGCCTCATCACAAGAAGAATGAACAAGAAATTTGTGTGTTGCTCTTTTAAATAAATATTGATTTACTTATATTTAATTAACAACAAGGATTAGGCATGCGACAATCAACATAAAAACCGCTACGCACTTAATCTCTGTTCAATCAGATAACATTGTCAGCGCTACGAATTTTAAGTTAGATATATTTTACAAAAAACATTACTATCATTTATAAATACTTCAATTTCATAATAAGCATTTTTACAAAGAAAATATTTTATAACACATTTGAATTCGATCAAACGATCTTATGTATAGTTCTGAGAATCGGCTACCATCTATTTTTCATACCCCTAAGAGATAAGGGTTGCTCATCCCTAATATTATTTTTTTATGATGTGGCATTAAAAATACATATAACTCTAAAATTTCACCCTTATATCATCACCCCCTATTTTTTAATACCGTTTTTAATTTATATCGCAAAACAACATTGCGGGGTCAGCTTTTAAGTCTAAATATATATAACTCAAAGGTGACTGACATAGTGATCTATCAACGCACAGCCCAAACCACTGGACGGAACGGGCTGAAATTTGGCATGCAGGTAGATGTTATGACGTAGGCATCCCCTAAGAAAGGATTTTAATAAATTCCACCCCTAAGGGTGAATTAACGCGAGCGAAGCCGCGGGAAAAAGCTAGTAAACTATAAGTGTGTTAAGAGGAGAAAAATGTAAACAAATGGAATTAGCATCAATATCTATATGAGCGCCCAATAATTATGTCCAAACATGTAGAAAGCACTTATTTGATGTTCCTTTCTACCTGCACCTAGTCTACGGTGTCGTTAGATATCCTGAGCTGGACATATTTGTTATTATTATTATATTATTAAAAAGGGGAACAAAGTTTTAATCCACATTTAAATGTTAAAGATATTTATTTTGGACAATTAGGAACTAGCGAGTTACCCCGACATGCGTGCGATGTCGGGGTAACTCGCTAGTATAGGGGGGACGGGATTGTTAGTAATGTGGTCTGATGATCTTATTGCTAGCAATGTACCATGTCAGGTAGACCTCCAGGCGGTTCCCCCTGGAAACCATTGTGATAACTTCCGGGTGAATTTGTCACGATGGGCTAACTGACCCGACCTCATGTTCATCTTATCATCCTCACTGGTGCCCCGCCAGCGTAAACCGTTAGCGCAGGCGGGTGCACCATTCCATTATCATCTACAATAAAAAAAAAAACTCGCTAGTATACAACACGCTGGCTTTGACTGCCTTTTTGGAGCGGAGCTCTAAAACTAACTATGCCAAGGCACTAAACGCCATTATTAACTTCCGGTACTTAGTGAATTATGCATCTTCAGTTCATATCAAAAGAATTAGGTATGAACAATGTATTATAATATTTGAATTTTAAATTCAAAACATTGCTGTTGTATGTCGAATTTATTTTGCTTATAATCATATTTATGGTATAGTATATGAAATCGATTTCTCGAATATGAGAAATATGAGATTATTTATAAACGTTACAACATTTATTTGAAAAGAATTTGAGCTGAGTTTCTTGTAGAAAAATAACTACTTCTCATCTCAAAATCATTCTGAACTGACGTTAGGTTTGACATCTTATAAGAGTCTGTAATAGACCTACATCAATAAAGATATTTTGATTTTGAATTCGAAAGAAAAAACGGTTTTAATATAAAATAAAAATGATTCATGTTTTTTTTTCACAGAATGTTTTATTCATCATAATTTTTAATCTAATAAAAATTATGACCAAGTGTAAAAGTATACAGCCCAAATAAATACTCATCCCGTAAACAAAATATAAGACCAGCCAAGCAGTGATATGTGGAGGTCAATTATCACATAGATGCAGAATAAAAAAAATCACATGATAATTGTATGCATAGAGCAAAAACCATACATCTTTACAAATGTTCTCATTGCTCTGTGTAACAAATAATTAAGAAAAAAAGTGGAATAAATAAAGTATATTATCACTATAAAATATATATAATATTGGTCAAGTTAATGAATAGAAAATAAATTAAAAGCATGCACATAAGAACCTATTAACACAGTAAAAGGAAAGTGTTTGCTTATTCTTCTTGCGATGAGTCTGCATTCTGAATGATTAGTAGAATAAAAAAAATGACAATTTAAAAGTGCTTATTGAGTTTATTTAAATAAAGATTATCTCTATTTCATTGCCTTGAAGGTGGTGCGAATTTTAGAAAAGCATAGGTTTTAGTTAAACAGTAATGTTAGTTTCACTGTGACATAAACAACCATGTATATAAACTATTTCTTTCTTGAATAAAGATTATTTCTGTTTCTAGATCTTTCACTTGGTAAGAGAATGCTATTAGACTACTAGTATCATGGTAGGCTGTATAATATAATGTTTAGATTAGATGGGAGTTCTAAATTTTGTTTTTCTTTTTAAAAATTAAAAAAATAGGAATTCATTTTGTAACATCTAGGCCAGTACCTTATTTTTAAATGGATACTTATTGAATGGTGCACCTGTTCTAAGTGTATACATAGGTGAGGCACCAGTGGAGGATGAAGTCAAGTGTTAGTGAATTCAGTGGGAATTAACTGTAATGATCATTACGGTTCGTTCCTACTGAATTCACTGACACTTGACTCAGTGGAGACAGAGTGGAGTTTGATCTGACAGAATATGTTGCAAAGGTTTGTGTGTCATGTGTCTAGTGTTGTAAAATGTCCATAATTCTAGAAGAGAAGAAGAATCTTCTCCTCTAACTGTGTACATCACTAGTGTATATATATACATATTGTTTTTTCTAGAAAAGTATGATTAACATCATTAGTAATACATTTAAAGATATTTAATCTTATCATATATTGTCAGTTCTAACAATAAAAAAAGTCATCCTTAAAATTGGCTTTTTTTTTAAGTAATTGGGATGATAACAAGGTCTATTTGATGGTAAACTGTACCCATCACCTATATACAAGATGAATATCACATTATCATGTGATACCTGTGATACTACTTATGGGTTGCCATTCCAGAGCACTAAGAAGTCATTCTTCTTATACTATAATTTTAGTTTCTAATCTGAACCATACACAGAAACACATTTTAAGAAAGAAAGAAAGAAAGAAAGAAAGAAAGAAAGAAAAATATTTATTCAGTGCAATGTAAAAAATACAATATAAACAACAAACGAAAAAAAAGAGCAAATAAAATGTACATATAATTAAACTTAATTTACCATAATTAAAATATTAACATAAAATAAACATTTTTTACATCCAATAATGCACTGAAATGGCTCCACTCAGCTTTAATGTATGTCCTAGGTGAACATACAGCTGGTTTTCAGTGGCACCAAAAATATATATATAAAAGGGGGGAGAGAGAGGGCACTATTTAAAATATTAATGATAATAATTAAAACAAAATTACAACTAATAAATACAAACCAATTACATATACTAGAGATAACAAAATTTTACAATTTTACAATTAAACAATTTTACAAAGAAACTAGCTTATGGGCTTAGGTTAGACTGTGGTAATTTTGAGGTAATACAGATAATTTTTACATTCTACTTCTGGATTATCTATGATTGCTTTTTATCCTGATAAACATACGCGGACGAATCCTCGCGCATGGTTCATACATCAACACACTTATCCCAACTGACTGACAATCAATACAGATTTTAATGCTCTAATAAATTAGAAATTTTGCATATAACATCATTTTACGATGTTTGTTCCATTAAGAAAGTACCTATTTCCCTAAATTAGATGCTATGGAAACCGTTGATAACGATTTCCGCGTGTGATATCGCGATAAAGAACAAATAAATTATATTTGCAAATTTGTAATAAATAGCTAAAATATTTCTTTCTTAGACACGATAGGTAGGTATGTAAACAAATTTAGTTATTAGAAAGCAGAGAATCACCAAGGTCACAGTATACAACCGTAGACTAGGTCAGTTAGTTGATGTAAGCTAAATAATTTAATGGACGATGTATGCTAGCATCTATCATTCAACTGCTGTTTAAATCAACTTTTCATTCATAGAAATCTTGATCTATGTGAAAATAATGTTGATATATAAAAATATTTAAATATAGAATTAGTACATAAATAGAGAATTATCATAGAGTTTCAAGAGAATTAAATTAAAAAAAAAAACAAAACACCGGGATAGTCAAATAGTTTTTCGTCACATTTATTCCTTGTATTGCTCGTAGACAGCAATCTAGAACATGAACTATAATAATTCTGTAAAAGTAGACCGCAAGTCGCTCGCTAAGTATTATAATGTGAAATCAGGAAATTTCACTTTTTAGATTATCTATCAATGTAACTTACCAGTAGGTTATTATATTATTGTGCAATCCAAAGTAATTTTCTTCGCGATTTCCTTGATGGATGGTTATGTTGTGATATAACACTTTTCTTTGGTAATACGCGAATATAACAATATAGGTAGGTTTTAATGAATTTCGCATGACACACTTCCACACATTTTCAGGGTGAACTGACGAAAAAAACTAGAAAATATAATCTACTAAACATTTGTCAAATTAGTGTTGCCACATGTTTTAAGTATATAATACTATGAGTAACAGTGTTTTGTGAGGTAGCCTTTAGAATTTTTAATATTTTTATAATCTAATGTAAGGATTCATGTTTAAAATTTGATGGTACATTATTCTGCTTAATTTGTGAATATTATATGTCAATGTTAGTTTTATTTACATTATTTTGGTGAATATACGAAGATAATTCGTGGTATAGACATGTACATGGGCAACGAAGTCGAATTGAGACTATGTGGTTAAAATACTAGTTTTCGATTGTATATATTTGAGAATTTCTATAAGTAATTAAAATTATCTCCAAGTGTAGAAATAAACTTTAATAAAAAATAACATACAAAATGGAATCTACAACAATTGTTGCGACATATTGAGAATACAACACAGTGCCAGAATTAATTTGTTTGGTATCAAATATCTCACCTTTTCTGAAACAATATCGTCGAAATGATAATCGAGTTGTATTCTTCTTACCTACGATTTCATTCTCATCGTTTGTTAACGCATGATAAAACGATACAAAATATGGAATAACAACCGTTTTCCCAAACCAGTGCCAAAGTAAAATGAAAAATAACGTTAATAAAATAACTTGACAAAACATATAAAAATAATAGGGGAAGATAATCGCGTTGGGTGTGGTGAACCTTGTTATTTTACACACAACCCATTGTATCATCATCCAATAAACGAGACATTGGTTTGTACCCGCACATAAAGAAACACAACAATCCCAAAATCTTGCGCACAATATATAGGGAAAGCAGAACACTTCCCACCAGTTATATCTGAAGACATCGTCAGTATGTGTGTGAAATCTTTCTCCTTCGACTGCATCACAACGATTTTGTCGTTGCGGTGGCTTTTTTCGTTTTGGAGCCATCCTAGTATTTAGTATTTAGTTTCGATTGTTAATATTTCTTATAATTCCTTCAATAATAAAATATTGGAACATAATTTAATATATCTGTATCATTAAAATGACAAATATAATTATGAATAAATAAATATAACTTCAAAATAAAATAATGCAATTGGTTTTTCGAAGTGACACTGAGTGACTGCTTACTTAATGACAATGCACTGTTATGGTAAAAGATGAATTTTTAATTAAATAACATATATGTTTTGTGAATTTTCACAATACAAATAGATGTGTAATAAACATTATTCTATTTTCTTTTAATTTCTACTGTAAATGTAAATTTCAATGACAGAATCATAGTTTAAGTCTATTAAATTTAAAATTAAACTGTCACCGTCTCTATCCTCTGTGAGAAAATTTGACATTAGACTGACATATGTGACATTGAGTGACATGGTTCTATTACTTTGTCTTGTGTAGTGTCTACTTTCTAAACTTTGTTTTGAGTTTGAAAAATATAATAATATTCAAATAATTATGTAAAGCAAAACATTGTACAATTAAATAAAACTGCAGGCTTTCCTGTATTTGTGTTCTGAATTAGTGGCAGGTAATATGTTTTATTGACTTAAAGTGTTAAAGTGAAAGTTCATGTTTTCATATCATATATTTCTTCATCGTAATTTGTAAATAGTTTGCGTAATATTAATGCGTTTGTTGAGTGACATGTTTAGTTAATTATACAGTTTAAGCACACTAATTGATTGATTTATATATATTAATGTACTTTTGATGCTGTATTGTGGTGGAACTGGTTTTTATGACCTTCGGAATAGTGTTGGAACTTCCTACCAGTCCTGACTAGGCTTTGAGTCATGTAACCTTGGTACAATTTCGTTAAAATATAAAATTTCACTTAAGTGCTTTTTATTATGAAAAAATCTTTTTAAAGACCTTTGGCATTGCTATTCAGTTCCTTTGCCTAAATTATAAAGGCTACATTCCACTCTCAAACTTATAAGCATTTATTCATTTAGAACCATCAGTTATTTATCTACATTAACCATTTCAATGTTACAGCGACCGAAAATAAAGAGGCGGTATGCATGCCAGCTGTATTTTATCTAATACATTTTAATCTTATTTTGTTTTAAATAAGGATAAAATTGGTTAAAAAGAAGTCACGGTTTTGTGGGTACAGATCTGTGACAAGACAGTAATATGATGATATATATGAGTATGGTAATATACATGAGGGGTGCACAGATCTGTGTTCAGTCACAGAAAATGTTTGAAGAGTTAATAATTTTTTTTTATTTTTATGAACTAATTCACTGGCCTCCCTTCTCTTGAGTTACATCACACTGTGCATTTACGTCCAGCACCAATGTGTTGACATTAATACTGGATATTTATTTTCAGATGAAACAACCACCATGTTGATACTGCTATTCTTACTGGTACCATGCATATCATCAGAGTACATACCTCCAGGACCTGCATATCCATGTCCAAAGCAAGCTCAACAACAATTGTTACATCCATGCATATGTGAGAAAGGGACAGACTCAGGGTTGTATATAAAATGTGAGAATACAGGGTTGGCAGTGCTCAGTGTAGGGCTGGGGAATATAGCTGGCCTCGGCTTGCCTATAGAAAGGTTGGAACTGAAGGAATGTAAAATTTGTAAGTGTTTTTTACATCACAAGTTATATAGATAGACTAGCTGTCCCGGCAAACATTTGTGCCTTAAAATAAAAAAAATTACGGGTGGACTACCTCTAAAATTTAGGGGGATGAAAAATAGATGTTGGCCGATTCTCAGACCTACTCAACACGCTCACAAAATTTCATGAGAATCGGTCGTTTCGGAGAAGTATGGGAATGAAAACTGTGACATGAGAATTTTATATATAAGATTAAATATGCTTTTATTTACACTATATACTAAAAGAAAGTAGGTACGTCTGAATATTAACTGACAGTCTCTGTGGTCTAGCAGTTTGACACACCACCTTACTTCTAAGTAAGTCGTGAGTTCAATTCCTCGCACGGCACAAACATTTGTATTCATGAGTATTATTGTTTGTAACAATTTGGGTATTTCTATGTATAATATGTATGTAAGAAAATATATCTATGTATTTGTATCACTTATCTAGTACCCATAACACAAGCTTTAGCTAGCTTAATTTGGGTTTAGATGATACGGGGCATGTCAAGTTTTGCATTCACCAAAATATTGACAGTAGATAATGTCTCCCATTACCCCTGATGTCTTTGATTACCCCTGATGCCTCCTCTGATTACCCCTGATATCTCTGATTACAATAGGATAACTGTCATGATAATGTTTGTTTATTGGTAATATTTTATTATTATTGTTAGATATATCAACTCTATGCACTAGTATAACAACTATATAACATTAATTTAACTATGTCTCTAACACAATTCACTTTAGCAATTAAAATACAACCAGCACATCCTGTGCTCAAAGACCGAATGCCGCGGCCTAGAAAAACCCTTTCTTTTATACAGAGAAGATATGAGTGGGGGTTATATGCAACTAGTTTAACGATACCGAGTAATAATGAAACTACCTTCTTTTAATATAAAATATCAGATTTTTCGACAATATCGATGTGAACCCTAACATTATTATTACTCAAATAAATAAATATACAAAATTAAAAACAAAAGATGCTCTCCAATTCCAGCTCATCTTCAGGGTGCTTTGCTGCATCGTTCCACTATCAGGGTGCTGCATATAGTGGATACACCAATCAAAACCATTGATGCATACACCTTCGCTGGTGTCAATCGGACCCTACAGGAGTTAAGGATGGTCAACACTAAAATAGCTGAATTTCCAAAGGATGCATTTAAGGTATATTTTATATAGGTTAATTTAGCAAAGTATACTTTATATAAACTAAGAAATATTTTATTGAGGTTTATTTAGCAAGGTATACTTTATATAAACTAAGAAACATTTTATTGAGGTTTATTTAGCAAGGTATACTTTATATAAACTAAGAAACATTTTATTGAGGTTTATTTAGCAAGGTATACTTTATATAAACTAAGAAATATTTTATTGAGGTTTATTGAGCAAGGGTTACTTTATATAAACCAAGAAATATTTTATTGAGGTTTATTTAGCAAGGTATACTTTATATAAACCAAGAAATATTTTAGTGAGGTTTATTTAGCAAGGTATACTTTATATAAACTAAGAAATATTTTATTGAGGTTTATTTACTTAAATATAAACTCTGAGGTTTATTATTTTTATACAAAAACTAGTTATACATCTAGACTTCGCATAAGACTAAAGTGTATTTGATGGAGGTTGAATGATTGAATGAATAACTTTTATTGTTCCTCTCACAGAAAGAAAATAACAATTACATAAATTAATATGTACAACAAATATAAAAAAAAAACATCGTAATTACAATGTTCGCTCGAGGAATATTGCAATGTTTAATTTGTTTTAATTGAAATAAAAAAAATATTTAGTATGTATTTATATGTACACTGATTTTAATAATTTGACGACCTCAGTGGTCTAGCGGTCTAGCACATCGCTTTACGACCGTTGGTCGCGGGTTCGATTCCTCGCACGGCACAAAAATTTGTATTCATGAGTATGATTGTTTGTATCGGTCTGGGTGTTTTCTATGTATAATATGTATGTATTTACAAAAAAAATATCTATGTATATGTATCAGTTATCTGGTACCCATAACACAAGCTTTAGCTAGCTTAACTTGGGTCTAGATGGCGTTGTGTGAATTGTACTGAGATTATTATTATTATTAATAATGACGCCACGGAATGTTCGAGAAGGAATTCAAAATTATATATATAATAACATCGATGTTCTGTGCCCGACGTTCTAAAATTGAACTATTATAATTTTACATTTTTAAATATATTAAAGGGCTATTTGAGATCGCAAACATACAATATAGGTGTAATAATTACTATTTAGCCTTATCGCTAAATAGCCATTTCTTCCAGACGACGTTGTTTGGGAAACTACTCTGCTACCAAAATGTTAGGGAATTTACTCTCTGTATATATATAGTGAAAAATGAGTGGAAGTGTCAGTTTCGTACCTGTATGGTTCTGCGGATTTCTTGGGCTTCAGGGTCTCGAAGGTATCTTCGCTAGCTTTCCAGTTTCACAGTAGGTTTCACAGTTCTAATTTATTTTAATTCACAACACAATGCGCGCGCGTCATGGCCGCCGTACAGTCGGTTCAGTACTTGTTAAGGGAGGGGAAGGGAACGCGCGGGAACAGAAAACTAACGGACTCTAATATAATATAATATCTGTGCTTACGATGATACAGGGTAGATTTTGAACAGACGTTATGTATGATAAAAAATAACTTCATGAATTCTCGAAATGAAAATGGTAACCATTTTTAAAAGTGTTTATTAATAAGTGAAGAAATAGAAATAGAAATAATCTTTATTCAAATAAACCCATTACAAGCACTTTTGAATAGTCATATTTTGATTCTACCACTCATTCGGAATGCAGATTCATTACAAGAAGAATGAGCAAGAAACTTGTGTGTTGCTCTTTTTAATAAATGTTTTTTTATATAAATAATTACAGTATAACAAGTAAGAGGCATGCGATAATCAAAATAGAAATCGCTACGCACTCATTATTAGTGTAATCAGATAATATTGTCAGTGCTAAGGATTTAAAGTTTTTCTATAAAAACATTATTATCGTTAACGAATTCTTCAATTTTATAGTAAGCTTTTTTGCAAAGGAACTGTTCTATTTGACATTTAAATCTTTTTTCTGGCAGATTTATAACAGACTCTGGTATTTTATTGTAATACCTTACGCAATTGCCATAAAACGAATTACTAACTTAGGTCAACGAACAGTTACACATTATATATATGACTTATGGCTATTTACTAATAAATTTTAACAAATGTGTCACCCACTACGTTAACCACTGATTACTATAATTATACAATACTGCCTAAGGCATGTTACAGAGATTATGTTACTTATTAATTAACAAAACTATTTTATATTAACAATATACATAATATGTTTGACGACCTCGGTGGTTTAGCGGTCAAGCACACCGCTTTACGACCGATGGTCGCGGGTTCGATTCCTCGCACGGCACAAACATTTGTATACATGAGTATGATTGTTTGTATCGGTCTGGGTGTTTTCTATGTATAAAATGTGTGTATTTACAAAAAAAAAAATTCTATGTATATGTATCAGTTATCTAGTACCCATAACACAAGCTCTAGCTAGCTTAACTTGGGTCTAGATGGCTCTGTGTGAATTGTCCTGACATTATTATATTATATTAATACAAAGAAAACTAAAAATTTTATGATGAATACACTGTAGACTACAATATTACAAATAATTATAATGTTAGTTACGAAAGATGATACTCGTATTTATGTCTCAGTTCATTAGTTATTTGGTTTTTGAAAGAAGAGAGTTTACAGGAGAATAAATCTATTTCACTAGTCACAATTATAACTGTTAGATATTCGATTAAGTGGTATGCGCTTACCAGAATTAGTACGACACTTAGTATAGGAGAACAGTTGATGTTTGCGTGTTGCTCGATTAGGATATAGAAGGTGCAACTTAATAAAAAACCGATAGATACATACCACTTACCATCACCATTAGTGAGCTGTTGACGCTGCCTCTGGCTACCCTGTCTAGAATAGCAGTTGTGAATGTTTTATATATTTCCAGATACTAAGCAACTTATCGATATTATCAATTAACGGACATGAGATGAGGAAGCTGGAGAAGGACATCTTCGCCGGCAGTGAGGCTGCGGCCCGACTGGAGAGGCTGCATCTGTCCAACGGACTTATATCCGATTTGCCAGTTGAATCATTTCAGGTAATTTACAGTGCTTTTACAGGGGTTGTTTGTTCGAAGCTGGTACTTAGAAAGTCTTTTAGGATCTAATTAATAAACAATAATATTATTAATCTATACATATAAATAGAATTGGAGTGTCTGTTTGTAATATTGAAACAACCGTTTTTTACTTCATGCGTATGAATATTAATACGGTACATACACCAAAATAACATTTTTTACAATTTTTGTCTGTCTATATGTTTGTTGCGTCTAATCTCTGAAATCGTTGGACCGATTTTGACGGGAGTTTTTTTGATGTAAAAACGAGTAACTTAGGCTACTTTTATTTTAGAAAATAAAGTTAAATTTCTCGCGGATGAAGTTGCGGGTACAGCTAGTTAAATATATATTTAGTCGTATTTATTTTATATTGCACTATAAAGAGTGTACAAGAGGCGAACTTAATGCCATATGGAATTCTCTACCAGCTAACGTTTGGGTAGAACTACAAAGCGTTGTAGGACGGTGATGGCGAAAATCTGTGATTATCACAGAATAGTATATATATCTATATATATATATATTCTGAAGGATAGATACAGCTGTTTTTTTTTACTTTTAGAATTTGAAGAAACTTAAAACACTGGACTTGCACGGCAACAGGCTGGCAACACTGAAGAGAAACCAGTTCAAAGGGCTCCGTGACACTGAGGTTCTTGATATAAGGTACTCTTTAATTAATTGTTATTTATATTCCAATGAATTGTAATGATACTTAACTACAGAATAGTATAAAACCGTTAATTAATTCATATATACCAATCTATACATTTATACATATAAATAAAATTGGAGTTTCTGTTTGTAATATTGAAATAACAGTTTTTTACTACATGCATATGATTATAAATACGGTACATACATCAAAATAACATTTTTTACAATTTGTTTGTCGGTCTGTTTGTTCCGGTTAATCTCTGAAATGGCTGGACCGATTTTGACGGGACTTTTTTTAACAGGTAGCTGATGTAATAAGGAGTAACTTAGTCTACTTTTATTTTAGAAATATAAAGTTAAATTCCACGCGGACGAAGTCGTGGGTACAGCTAGTATGCTATATATAATATATGATTACATGAATTTCATTTCAGTCACAACAATATTACAAAATTGGATGGTAGTCATATTGGAGACCTCACGAAGCTGGGCTGGTGTAACGCCAGCTATAATATGATTGGGGATATACCCAGGTAAGAATTTCACTATTTAATAATAATAATAATAATCTCAGGAAAATTCACACAGCGCCATCTAGTCCCAAGTTAAGCTAGCTAAAGCTTGTGTTACGGGTACTAGATACCTGATACAAATACATAGATAATTATTTTTCGTAAATACATATTAGACATAGAAAACACCCAGACCGATACAAACAATCATACTCATGAATATAAATGTTTGTGCCGTGCGAGGAATTGAACCCGCAATCATAAGACGTAAAGCGGTGTGCTAGATCGCTAGACTACCGAGGTCGTCAAACTATTTATTTATTTGCTTTGAATAGGTTACATTGTTCCTAGGAAAAATACAACTTACCAATATCATTACATAGTATAAAACAAAGTCGCTGTCGCTGTCTGTCCGTCCCTATGTATGCTTAAATCTTTAAAACTACGCAACGGTTTATGAAGCGGTTTTTTAATAGATAGAGTGATTCTAGAGGAAGGTTTATATAATACATGTAGACCCGTGCGAAGCCGGGGCGAGTAGCTAGTGTTATTATAAGTGCGGAAATGTGTGAGTATGGATAGTTGGATGGATGGATGTTTGTTACTCTTTAACGCAAAAACTACTGAACTGATTTTGATGAAACTTTACAGTAATATAACTTATACATCAAGCTATAAATTTCGCTTTACTTCCAATGGTTGCAGGTTCTATTCTTTGCATAAAACATTTGTATTCATAAGTATAGTATCAGTATGGGCGTATGCTGTGTATTATGTATATATTTACAAAAAATATTGTAACGATTTATTTATATCAGTTGTCTAGTACCCATAACACAAGTTCTGCTTAGCTTGGGACTAGATGGCGCTGTGTGAATTGTCCTGAGATATTACTATTATTATTTTAGCATAATTATAATGTGTTTTTCCGTATATATATATATATATGTAATTATTTTTATATTAATGTATATGTATTTATATCAGTTGCCTAGTACAAATAACGCAAGCTCTGCTTAGCTTGGGACTAGATGGCGCTGTGTGAATTGTCCTGAGATATTACTATTATTATTTTAGCGTAATTATAATGTGTTTTTCCGTATATATATATGTAATTATTTTTATATTAATGTATATGTATTTATATCACTTGTCTAGTACCCATAACACAAGCTCTGCTTAGCTTGAGACTAGATGGCGCTGTGTGAATTGTCCTGAGATATTACTATTATTATTTTAGCATAATTATAATGTGTTTTTCCGTATATATATATGTAAGAATTTTTATATTAATGTATATGTATTTATATCAGTTGCCTAGTACAAATAACGCAAGCTCTGCTTACCTTGGGACTAGATGGCGCTGTGTGAATTGTCCTGAGATATTACTATTATTATTTTAGCATAATTATAATGTGTTTTTCCGTATATATATGAAATTATTTTTGTATTAATAAAGTAATTGAATTAATATTGCTTTAATTACAGAGGCATGTTCGCGAGGAACACAGTACTGAAAGTATTGCACTTGAACAACAACAAGATCAAGAAGTTAGACACTAACAGTTTCAGGGGGATGCGGTTCCTCAGGTGATATTTCTAATTATATTATCTATACATATAAATAAAATTGGAGTGTCTGTTTGTAATATTGAAATAACCGTTTTTAACTACATGCATATGAATATAAATACGGTACATACACCAAAATTTTTGTCTGTCTGTCTATTTGTTCCGGCTAATCTCTGAAATGGATTGACCGATTTGAACTTGGCTACTTTTATTATAGAAAATTTATTTTTCTATAATTAAGTTAAATTCCACGCGGACAAAATCGCGCGTACAGCGAGTATAATAATGAAATACATGCTACATATACATTTGTAATGAAAATTTCAGGCGGCTGTTCTTACAAGATAATGAAATATCCGACATCGGTCGTGGCACCTTCTCAGCAGTTACCCGCATCGGCACCATAGACTTGGCCAGGAACAGGATCAAGAAGGTGGACTATCAGATGTTCCAGCATGTCAAATATGCCGAGGTAAGTGTACTGTGAGGTACAGAGATATGTTTAAAAAGGTGGTAGTCGATAATCAAGTCTACTATTTATATTTGACCCAAAAAAATTAGTGCTGGTTGGTAGTTTGTATTCACACGTATCGACTTGTAAATGTAAACTTACAAGGATTATTTAAAAGAGCAACACACAAGTTTCTTGCTTATTCTTCTTGTGATGAGACAGCTTTCCCAATAAGCGGTAGATTTAAAAAAAATTGTTGTCTATTCAAAAGTGCTTAAATTAAGTTTATTTGAATAAATGATTTTCTATTCTGTACCAAATTTATTTGAAAAGAATACGAGCTGAGTTTCTTGTCAGTTCTTCTCATCTCGAAATCATTCCGAACTGACAGTAGATTTGACGTATCATAAGATCCTAATAATAGGTCTGTAATAGACCTACATGAATAAAGATATTTTGAATTTGAAATTAAGACTGAGACGCAGTACAAAATTATTAAACCTATGTGTTGATTATCTGATTGGACAAAGAATGAGTGCGTAGCGGTTTCTATGTTTAATATCGCATGCCTCTTACTTGTTATTGTGTATTTATATATTTGCTTTTAATATTGATGCAATAAAGAATCATCATCATCATCATTACATAGTCGCTGTCGCTGTCTGGCCCTATGTATGCAAATCTTTAAAACTACGTAACTGATTTTGAAGTGTTTTTTTTTAATACATAGTGATTCAAGAAGAAGGTTTATATATAATAATAAGGGTTTATATATATAGAAGCCGGGGCGAGTAGCTATATAAATAGGGTACATTCACCAAAATAACATTTTTTACAATTTTTGTCTGTCTGTTCCGGCTAATCTCCGAAATGGTTGGACCGATTTTGACGGGACTTTTATTGGCAGGTAGCTGATGTAATAAGGAGTAACTTAGGCTACTGTTATTTTAGAAAAATAAAGTTAAATTCCACGCGGACGACGTCCCGGGTACAGCTAGTTATAAATAAAAAAATAAATATTTTAATGTTTTTTTACAGGTAATAAATCTAGCCGAAAATAATATAACGAGCATAGACTCACAAGCGTTCACAGATCTGTACCTGGCCACAGTCAATATATCACACAATCAACTGACGACCATAGAGAAGGGAGCGTTCCAGAATTGCAACAATATGACTGTACTCGACCTGAGTCATAACAATCTGGAGAAAATAAGCAGATTAGCGTTTGATGAGATATCATATGCTTCACTGTTTACAGTTGCTTATAATAATTTCACAGACTTTAATCAGGTAAGCGTAAATACTAATGTTATTGACGGCCGCGGTGGTTCAGCGGTTAAACAAGTCGCTTTACATCCGATGGTCGCGGGTTCGATTCCTCGTACTGTACAAATATTGTATTTATGAGTTAATTTTAAGTTATTGATAGCCGCAGTGGTTTAACGGTTAAACAAGTCGCTTTACATCCGATGGTCGCGGGTTCGATTCCTCGTACTGTACAAATATTGTATTTATGAGTTAATATTAAGTTATTGATAGCCGCAGTGGTTTAACGGTTAAACAAGTCGCTTTACATCCGATGGTCGCCGGTTCGATTCCTCGTACTGTACAAATATTGTATTTATGAGTTAATATTAAGTTATTGATAGCCGCAGTGGTTTAACGGTTAAACAAGTCGCTTTACATCCGATGGTCGCCGGTTCGATTCCTCGTACTGTACAAATATTGTATTTATGAGTATGATTGTTTGTATCGGTCTGAGTGTTTTCTATGTATAGTGTAAATGCGCATAGAATTGAGCTAAAATTGTATGTTTACCAATGTACTTTCTTACGGTCGCTGGTTCGATTCCTCGCACTGTACAAATATGTATTCATGAGTATGATTGTTTTTATCGGTCTGGGTGTTTTCTATATATGTTAAGTATCTATTTATCAAAATGTGTCTATATAATTGACTCAATAATTAATAAATACTAATATTATTGACGGCCTCGGCGGTCTAGTGGTTTAAGACGACGTTTTACCTCCGATGGTCGCGGGTTCGGTTCCTCGCACTGTACAAATTTTGCGAAAGTAATAAATAAGTGCGTTAGTAATAAATAAAATATACTTAATATATGACGTCTTTTCGATTATTACAATAGAATCATAAAAATTGGATACTATTTAAGAATCTTGTCTTATTAAAATCATGAACGCGAAAGTTTGTGAGTATGGATGTTTGTTTGTTACTCTTTCACGCAAAATTTACTTAACGGATTTTAATGAAACTTTTCAGTAATATAGCTTATACATCAGAATAACACATAGGCTATAATTTATAAAGATATTAAACACATACCACAGAAAGATATAAAAGACGTTACAAATTGGGCGAAATATAATGCCAAGTAAGTGTGATGCAGAGGAAGTTGCTGGGATCTGCTAGTATTAAATATATATAATACATGTAAACTCATGCGAAGCCGGGGCGGGTGGATAGTATTACTGTTATTGTCTGTCTCAATGTTTATTCTTCCGAAATTATGCATAAATTCAAAAGAATTGTATTTGAGAAATGGAAAACCCATTTTGATAGTATATCTCATTCTAAGGGCATTTGGTACAAAACAATACAGAAAGAACCTCCCCGGGTGCCTTGGTGCAATTATGTGAAGGGTACACGTTCTTACATTGTAAAAATGCATAGACTCCGTTCTGGACATTATCCATCGGCAAAGTTTGCTTACCTGATGAAAAAAAGCAATTCACAAAATTGTGAAGTATGTGGTACAATAGAGGATGTTTATCATTTGCTGATGGAGTGTGTCAGGAACGAGAGTCTACGACATGGAATAACGTCAGACCATGAAATAAATATATTAGATGTTGGTGCCATACAAACTGTTTTAGCCGATCCTTCGGGCGATGCGGCTAAGGCAATTTGTTCACTGGTGAGGTAATGGAGTGATTGGTTTTAGGGTACAATGGGACTGACATGTACTTAGATGGTACAAAAGTACCTAAATTTAAAAAGAAATTTAAAAAAAAAAATGTTTATTCTATATTAAACTTCTAAATATATAATAAAAATCTTTAGAAAAATATAATATTATATATATATAATATATAAGAACTATAAAAGTATGTGGCCAGTACGTCAGCAACAATGACATAAAATGAGTGAATAATTTTCAGATCCCAATCTCTAATATGACTGGAATACAAGTGCTCAACGCGTCATACAACCGATTGCAAACCATACCAAAGATGGCATTCCCGAAGTTGTATGAGCTCCATACAGTCGACCTGTCACACAACAATCTAACGGAAATATTCAATGGAGTGTTCCAGAACTTGTTCTCGATCAGGTGAGTCATAACCCTGGGTATATAAACACCTATATGTATTTACTTAGATTAATATTTATTTAATGCCCAATTTACACTCAGTCGAGTGGGCAGGGAAGTGAGCAGCGCGAGAGTGTAAACACGAGTGGAAACACTTACCATGCTATTGACGCTACCACTCGCGCTGCCCGGCGCTCCCTCGATTGTCGGTTTTTCGTGCGCGAGTCAAAGGACTGGCAGCGCGAGTGGCAGCGTGTTTTTACAGTCAGCCCTCTCGCTCAGTTGCCGGCCGTCAATCCGGCAGCGCGAGTGGCAGGGGATGCGGCTGAATGTAAACATACCATAAAACAGCAACAGACAAGTTTCTTGCTTGCGAGAAACAAGAAGAAAGAAAGAAAAATATTTTATTCAGTGCAATGTAAAAAATACAATATAAACAACAAACGAAAAAAAAGAGCAAATAAAATGTACATATAATTAAACTTAATTTACCAATAAACTATAGTAATAAATAAAACAATATTAATCTATTCTCAATTTGATCAAAGACTTTAACAATAAACAAAAGAGTTTATACTCGAGTTTGTCAAGTATATGGTAGTGTGTGTAATGTTTTTTATTGATTTATGCACAATATACAGGGTGTAACGGAAAGGGTATATCAATACAAAAACCACGCCCATGGTTATATAGCACCTCCGATGGTTTTTTGAAGTATAACTACACTTGAAATGCATTTACTACCATAAATACATCTAAAACTAATTTAGAATTATGTTACTTTGCACAACACTAGAGCCCCAATCAGCTGTCCGGTCATCGACTTCATAAGGCAATAAAATAATATTGCAACTATAAATTGAGATGTAAGCTATCCTATCTTTCAAGTTGGATCAAATTGCACACAATGTGCAAAACAAATTTGCAATCGGTTCAGTCATTTATCAGTCCATCGCGGACAAACAACGTGACACGTAATCTTATATATAAAATTCTCGTGTCACCGTTTTCGTTCCTATACTCCTCCGAAACGGCTTGACCGATTCTCATGAAATTTTGTGAGCGTATTGAGTAGGTCTGAGAATCGGCCAACATCTGTTTTTCATCCACCTAAATGTTAGGGGTAGTCCACCCCAAATTTTTTTTTTATTTTAAGGCAAAACAACGTTTGTCGGGACAGCTAGTTTTTATATAAAAAGATAAGCAGCCGGCGGTCCACTTGGTATAAGATGAGTTGCCTGGAGAGTTTTGGTTGGAAGAAGCATTCGTGGTGGTCACGACGCTCAGCCTTGAGGAATGGGCATAGCAAAGAAGATTATATATATGTAATGATTTTTACAGATATTTGAACCTAAGTCACAACTCAATGGAGCTTATCAAGCCGGCTACCTTCGGCTCCATCCCGACCGTTCTCGATGTGGATTTGTCGTACAACAAGTTGCGTGACGGGTCCAGGGGCGGCCTCGCCAAGTTGGCCAGCTGCAGGGTCATGGATCTGAGCCATAATCAGCTGGAGAGGATCCCACAGATACCTATAAGCTTGGGGTAAGTGTAAAATTCATAATTTTTGTAATTAGAATAGAATAGACGACGTGGATTTGTCGTACAACAAGTTGCGTGACGGGTCCAGGGGTGGCCTCGCCAAGTTGGCCAGCGGCAGGGTTATGGATCTGAGCCATAAGAGACTAAGAAAGGATTTTGATTACTTCTACCCCCAAGGGGATAAAATAGAGGATGAATGTATGTATGAAAGTTTGTCAATTTTAAACCGATCGGGCTGAGACTTTGCATGCATAAAGCTACTATGACGTAGGCATCCCCTAAGAAAGGATTTTGATAAATTCCACCCCTACGGGGATAAAAGTTTGTATAAATCTTCTTAGATTTTCGACTGATTGAACTGAAATTAAAGATTGGAGCTAGTATGATCAAGACGTTCGCTTAAATAGGATTTTGATAAATTTAACCCCCATGGGGATAAAATAAGGGATGATGCAGGATGTAAATGTATTAGTTTGAACCTATCAGTACCTAATGGAACGAATAAATTAAGACGAACAAAATAATTTTTAGTACTTTAGGCTACTATAATTTTAGAAAAATAAGGTTAAATTCCACGCGGACGAAGTCGCGGGAACAGCTAGTGTATATATATGTATACAGGTAAACATATTATAATTTCAGTGACCTGAACTTCGCTTACAACAACTTATCGGAAATCAAACCCAACACCTGGCCCACAATGAACGCACTATTACGTCTGAACTTGTCTGCGAACAATATTGGTGACAATTTATCCGGTGATAGTTTCTCGGGCCTTTTAACGCTGCAAGCGCTGGATTTATCTGTCAACGGTGTGAGTCGACCGCCGTGGGAAGCGCTGAATGTGCTGACTAGTCTGCAGTATTTATATTTGCAGGTAATTATTTGAAAAGAATACGAGCTGAGTTTCTGTCAGTTCTTCTCATCTCGATATCATTCCGAACTGACGGTAGATTTGATATATCATAAGAGTCTGTAATAGACCTACACGAATAAAGATATTTTGAAGTTTGTGGTTCTTTCACATTCAACAGCCTTAATATACCACATATAGTACATCAATAGACTATTGCTATTGAGTAAAAACAATATATGCATCATGACTAGGGCTCTCATTTAACACTGCAAATTATAATAATAATAATCTCAGGACAATTCACACAGCGCCATCTAGACCCAAGTTAAGCTAGCTAAAGCTTGTGTTATGGGTACTTGATAACTGATACATATACATAGATTTTTTTTCGTAAATACATACATAATATACATAGAAAACACCCGGACTGCCTCGACTATTCAATTAGACGGCCTTGGTGGTCTAGCGGTTTAGCTCACCGCCTTGCTTTCGATGGTTGCGGGTTCGATTCCTCACACTGTTCAAACATTTATATTCATGAGTATTATTATTTTTATTTGTCTGGGTGTTTTTTACGTATGAGATTACATAAATTATATCAATGTATTTATATAAGTTGTTTAGTACCCATAACACAAGCTTTGCTCACCGTAGGACTAGATGGCGCTGTGTTAATTGTCCAGGGTTATTTATTGTTTAATTATCTTCCCCAGCACAACAATATAACAGCCCTAACAAAATCGGCGTTCGGGAATCTACCCACATTGTTCAATTTGGATCTGTCGCACAACCAGTTGGCCGATATATCGCAGTTATCATTTAACGGGATGCAACAGCTGATAAATTTGACCCTGAGCGGGAATGAACTTGGTCATATACCCAACGAGGCGTTTAAGGGTCTTGTTGCATTAAGGTATGTAATGATATTATACTGCAATATAGATAATTCTGGAAGATTTTACTAGCTGTACACGCGACTTCGTCCGCGTGGAATTTAACTTTATTTTTCGATTAAAAACAAATCTAAAATAAAAGTAGTCTAAGTTATTCCTTATTACATCAGCTGCCTGCCATAAAAAGTCCCGTCAAAATCGGTTCAGCCATTTCAGAGATTAGCCGAAACATACAGACAGACAGATACAATATTGTAAAAAGTGTTATTTCGGCGTGTGTATCGTATTTATATTCATATGCATGTAGTAAAAAACGGTTATTTCAACATTACAAACAGACACTCCAATTTTATTTATATGTATAGATGTAATCATTTCTGTTTTCAGGAAACTTGATTTATCAAACAATATGCTTGAGAAAATTGATAACAAAACCAACGGATTATTAGACGATCTACTATCTTTGGAAACGGTAAATATATTTAATTTGTCTATACATAAATATACTAACAGTGCGATCTTTGAACATGATCTTGGTTTTGTCCAAATTCATCCGAAGACCGATGCGTTGAGACGACTCAGCCAGGACAGGCCTCAGCCTGAGGCCGTTCAGCATCTGCTGTAAGTCCTGCAGCGATTCAGCCATGATGACAATGTCGTCAGCAAAACGTAAGTGAGAGATGTTTTCGCCGTTAACAAATTGCCGTAGTTTTTCCAGTCCAGCATTCTAAACATATCCTCCAGCGCAGTTGTAAACAACTTTGGGGATGTAACATCCCCCGTTATACTCCATTTTTCAGGTGGATATGCTTAGTCCGCTGGTTTTGTACTTGGACGGTCATTGTTGCAGCGTTATAGAGAGATCTCAACACTTCGATGTATCGCCAGTCGACTTGGCATCGCTGCAGAGACTCCAGAACAGACCAGGTCTCGATAGAGCCTTCTCATAGTCAACAAAGGCTAGACACAGAGGTTGATTATACTCTTCGGTTTTCTGTATAATCTGCCTACCTGTGTGAATGTGATCTATGGTGCCAACATTTGTCTTGTTTATTGTTTTTTTTTTATCATTTTATACATAATTGTATTTTCTGTGAGAGGAACAATGAAGAAATTCATTCATTCATTCGTTCGTTCGTTCGTTTGTTCGTTCCTTCATTCATTCATTCATTCATTCATCATTCATTCATTCATTCATTCATTCATAAATACTTTGTTTACCTATTTTCAGGTGGATTTAAGTTATAATCGTTTTGGATTCCTAACAAAGAAAATGTTCCCATCCTCCCCGTGGATACCCTATAGACTTATGGAAGTGGATCTCAGCTATAACGAGATACCGGTATTGACGTTCGATTTAACGCACGGCGGTGGTAAAGTGAAGAGGTTGAATTTGACTGGGAACGTTATAAATGATATTAGGAGCCGTAAGTTAATAACTCTGTATATTATTGAACTAGCTACTCGCCCCGACTTCGCACGGGTGTACATGTATTATACATTTTTAGAATAGAATAGAATAGAAAATCATTTATTCAAATAAACTTAATTTAAGCACTTTTGAATAGTCATAACAATTTGTTTTTTATCTACCACTCGTTCGGAAAGCTGTCTCATCACAAGATCGAGCAAGAAACTTGTGTGTTGCTCTTTTAAATCATCCTTGTAAGTTTACATTTACAAGTCGAAACGTGTGAATACAAACTACCAACAAGCACTAATTTTTGGGTCAAATATAAATATGCAATAAGATTAAATCAGTCGTAGTGATAAGAGCAGACCAGTCCCTACAAGCAGCACTCGTTTCACGAGTATGACTGATGAGCCAGCCATCACTGCGCTCGACCATATTTTAGGGAGCCCAATGACCCAATTTATGTTTACTTTGTTAGTTGTAGTTTAAAACTTAATATGATATCGTCGTCGTATATCTCACATTGTATTTTACTGATAAAGGCTATAACAGAATAGCAGAGAGGGTGGACTCACTGCCCTCACTGAGTTATACACCGTTTTGTCTCATTCATTAGTTTTTAAATTATATTATTCTATGGGCAACAGTTGTATTGTGTAAAAAGTTTCTGTTTGAAATAAATAAAGATTATTATTATTATTATATATATGTTAGGGTTCACATCGATATTGTCGAAAAATCTGATATTTTATATTAAAAGATGGTAGTTTCATTATTACTCTGTATCGTTAACTAGTTGCATATAACCCCCACTCATATCTTCTCTGTATAAAAGGGAGGGTTTTTGTAGGCCGCGGCATTCGGTCTTTGAGCACAGGATGTGCTGGTTGTATTTTAATTGCTAAAGTGAATTGTGTTAGAGACATAGTTAAATTAATGTTATATAGTTGTTATTTTATTATAATACATACTTTTACTAGTACATAGAGTTGATATGTCTAACATATATATATATATATATATATATATATATTATATCTCCCTTTTACGGGGGTAATATTTTTTTTTTTTCCAAATATTCTCATCTCCCCTCTTAAGAAGAGGAGATGGCAACATACCCCCGGTAGAAGCACAGTAGGCCGGGGTTCAGGGCCTCAGGGATTATTATTATTATTATTATTATATAAACCTTCCTCTTGAATCACTCTATCTATTTAAAAAACCGCTTCAAAATCCGTTGCGTAGTTTTAAAGATTTAAGCATACATAGGGACAGACAGCGACAGCGACTTTATTTTATACTATGTAATGATTTTTGTTTTTTTTTCAGACGTATTGGGAAATTTGACTTCACTAGAGGTATTGGATATGTCCAATAACGATTTGAAGAGTTTGATTTCGCGCTCATGTAAGTATGATGCTAATTCAAGATGGCAGTCTTATTTTCTAGAGTATAGTAGACCCGCGGTAATCCGGCCCCTGTCTTATCCGGCCCCCCTTGTAATCCGACATGGTCTATTATTTATTATTGAATCTTTTTTTGACAATCGTCGCTAATGCATGATTGAACAAGTTTGAACTAGTCTTGTACGTGTCACCACTGTTATACTCGATGCGTAGGGTATTGTTTTGATTATGATTGCTTAGTTGAATTTGACTACCTCCATGTGAAGATAGTGGTGTTCATTGTTTACTGCCTTTTTTCATTGTGTGTATTACCTATCAGTTCAGAAGCGAAAGCATAAAACACTGACAATTCAAGAAAAATTTGATATTTTAGACCACCTAATTCATAACGAATCTTTTAGTAGTTAACAAACAATAAAATAATGAAGTAATATTTGTACTTCAGAGTGCATATACATACATATATAACATAGAACATTATCACTGGACCTGTAATTTGTCGGATTACAAGGTACTCATTTGTAAAAAATCCGGACTATAGGGGACCTCTTAGGCCCTCTCTATGATCCGACAAATTTGATTGTGTGACACTACCCTGCAAAACGATTGTCGGATAACCGCGGGTCCACTGTATATATATTTATATATATAAATTTATACTAACTATGCCCGCGCTTTTACCCGCGTTAGATTTCAATATAAAATATAGTCTATGTGTTATTCTGATGCATAAGCTATATTACTGTAAAGTTTCATCAAAATCCAATAGTTACTTTTAAACTTTCGTGTTTAATATACATTATTTAAATTATTAACCGGGTCTTAACAACTTTCGAACTTTGCGAACTTTCGTTAAACTAGTGACGGTAGATGAAGACAATCTGCTGTCACCTATCTACATTGATATCGCTGTTACTCCAGTCAGCTCGTGACCACGGCTAGTGCAACCTAGTCGAAACGTCGAGAGAGGTAAATACCTTTATTTGCCATAAAATTATTCGTGTTAAGACCCGGTTAATAATTTAAATAATGTTCATAAAAATCCGTTCAGTAGTTTTTGCGTGAAAGACTTACAAACTTTCGCGTTTATTATGTTATTAAGGTACTTTTCACGACCTCGGTGGTCTAGCGGTTTAGCGCACCGCTTTACTTCCGAAGGTCGCGGGTTTGATTCCTGCACGGTGCAAACATTTGTATTCATGAGTATGATTGTTTGTATCGGTCTGGATGTTATATATTTTAAATTTGAATAAATTTTATTTCATCTCAACAAATTACATAATTCTAGTTTTATTATATAAATGCCAACAATAAAAATCACAAATATAATTTGTGGGAAATCTGGAGCCCAAACTAAGCTATAGCCTGTACCTTAGACACCAGGTCTCCCCTTCATATAAATTAGTTATACATCTAGTTTTAAGTTTAAACGTGGAGTACATTGAGCATGTGTGTGTTTATGTATGAGTATGTGTGTGAGTGAGTGGGTGATCTATGTAAAATTTATATATAAACTTATAATTTATATTTACTTGTGTGTATTTAATTTATGTATATTATATTTTTATTACACTGCATATCATTTCCGTTTCATCGTAATTTTGTATTAAAAGACTTTTTTAAATACATGTATATATTTAGAAAAGTTATTGGGAGAATGTATATATGTATATTATAATATACTTTATTGCACTTATTACATTAATAAACAAAGACAGTTATACAATAATGTGAGCAAGGGCTGGCTTACCTCTGCAGGAGATCTCTTCCAGCCAACCTAACGCTGTGATAGAGGTGGTAGTTAGCGGGCAACGATAGTGCTTGAGATTTTGTAATAGACAACAATATTCTAAATAAAAAATTATTATAAATTTTGTAATGACATATTGTAAATTAAATAATGTAAATTTAATATTGTAATGGGTGAAAACTGTGATCAGTACAGCCTATGCTGTAAATAATATAAATGACGTAGTGGAGTAACCTGAAACAGTCATGCTCGCTATAAAGTTCAAACTTGTGGCGGCGTGGTGGGCCGGGTCGATGTGTACCCTCTAATATAGTTGAGTGCAATGATGGCTGGCTCATATGTCATACTCGTGAACGGGTGCTGCTTGTGGGGACTGGTCTGTTCAGGTTGTGAACACTGATTAATTTTTTTGTTCTTTGTATCGCAATGCGTATGCTGGTGGTCACTCTATTCTCCCAATTTTGAATTTTAATGACTGTGTATTATTATAAACATGTTCCACTATTATTTGAAAAAAATACGAGCTGAGTTTCTTGTCAGTTCTTCTAATCTCGATAACATTCCGAAATGACGGTAGATTTGACATATCATAAGAGTCTGTAATAGACCTACATGAATAAAGATATTTTGAATTTGAATTTGAATTTATATATATAAATAATAATACAATAATAATAATAATTAAACATTAATACAATACATTTAATAAATAAATATTATATTATAAATATAATAAAATAATCATATATAAGTATCTAAACAAATGCATACATATATAAAGCAACTATTACATATAATGACTATCTTTTTTATTAATTATGTATGTATTTAGAAAAGATGTAATGATATTTAGTTACAAGGTACCAGGTTTAAATCCATTTTTTTTTCAGCTGAAGGAAATTTCGCATTGCCTGAATCTATACGTGAATTGTATTTACAAAACAACATACTGGAGGAGCTGCCAGTAGATAAATTGCATAATGCGAGTCATCTGAAGGTCCTCGACGTGAGGAACAACCAGCTGACCAGCTTCGACCCGTACCTGACGAAGAAGGTCAGGAGTGAGGGACTGCAGGTGTTGTTTGATGGTAATTCTCTTGTAAAAATATGTTCTGATGTATGATATAGGAATATATGTTTATTATGATAGATATATATGTTTATTTATATATATAAGTTATCTTTCTTTCATATTTAAGAACTAGCTGAATCACGCAACTTCGTCTGCATTACACTTACTTGACATTAATCATTGTAAATTATAGTCTATGTGTTATTCTGATGTATAAGCTATATTACTGTAAAGTTTCATTGAAATCCGTTCCGTAGTTTTAGCGAGAAAGAGTGACAAATCCATCCATACTCAAACTTTAGCGTTTACAATAAGATATTTATATATTTATATTTTTATATATTACGTGTGTATTTATAAAAATTAAGTCTCTATGTCAGTTGCCTAGTCTCCATAACACAAGCTTTGTGTAGCTTGGCACTAGATGGCGCTGTATGAATTGTCCTGAAAATTTATTAATAACTTATTTTTTACAGGTAATAAACTTAGATGCGATTGTCTTACTCGCCCGTTGAAGCACTATTTAAACCATCTGTCACATTCGAGACTGGAAACCGAAACTCTATATCACAATTTGACATGTACTGACCCTGCGGTGTTGGAAGGCGAAAATATATTGAGCATAGACGAGGAGAGATTATTGTGTGCTGGCAACATTGAAACAGATTATAAACTCAATGAATATGGCAACACTGACAGTTTCGAGTTTGTTCTAGAGCCGGATTTGGCGTTCAGGGATATACAGTAGTAAGTTTTATTGTGTCGTTTATAAGTATAACTTCACGACTGCTATCCCAGAGGGGGTGGCTAGAGAAATTGGATATAATCGACGTCGTGGTGAATACTTTTGAAATACTCAAATTTCACTGAATTCGTCCGCATGGAATAGAGGATGAATGACGAATTTCCATGCAAACTTTCATCCTCTCTTTTATTTCACCGCCCTAAGGGTTTTAACTTTTTACAACCTTTAAATGTTATATTTATTTATTAAATATAAATCAACAGCAAAAATAGGCTTCAATGTTCTAGCTTTAAAAATAATCTATAATCTAATAATATAAAAAATAATCTATAATATAATCTATAGCTATATAAATATAAAATAAAACGATACTTTTACAAACTTTTAACTCCCCTTTCAACCCTTTATTCGCATTAAAAAGTAGCCTATGGCCTTTCTCAGGGTCTAGACTATATGTGTACCAAATTTTATTGAAATCGGTTCCGTAGTGTTAACATGAAAGAGAGACAGACAGACATAGTTACTTTCGCATTTATAACATTATAAGTAAGGATATAATATGAATGACAGACAAAAGTACATTAAAAATATTAAATACATACATACTTTGTATTTTGGCCCTTATACCACTGGTATAGCGGTTTAGCACACCGTCTTACTTTCGATGGTTGCAGGTTCGATTCCTTTCACGGTACAAACATTTGTATTCATTAGTATGATTATTTGTATCAGTCTGGGCGTTTTCTATGTATAATATATATGTATTTACGAAAAAAATATCTATGTACTTGTATCAGTTATCTAGTACCCATAACACAAGCTTTAGCTAGCTTAATTTGGGTCTAGATGGCGTTGTGTGAATTGTCCTGAGATTATTATAATGTATTGATTACTTTTTGTATATTTTAGCTCTCAAGCGGGTATATACATATATTGGTATGTAATGTCTACTGAAGATATCGCAGACTTCAATCTGTACATACGCGATGACAAAAACAATATACTCTACACGAAAACCATGGCCTACAACCTCCGCTCTATGACCATAACCATAGACGAAGATCTGAAAACGTCACTGCGGGAAAATAACGAGATTTGCATACAGGCGAAGAGCTCGAACGGTTTCCCGCGCAAATGGTACGCGTCGCAATGTCAAAAGGTGCCTTCGAATTTCGAAAAATGGCCGCCGAAACTGAGCATAGACAAGAGGAGGTTGACAAAGAAGAAGGTGAAGTACAGTTGGTTTGGTAATAGCGTTATTTCGTTGGTGGGCGATTCGATATTAATTACTCTGTGCATATTCTTAGGGGTATGTTTGAAATTGACAGATATTGACATGTGATTATCAATTTTAAAAGTTTTTTCACCGAAATACATGTTTAAAAAACATGTAGTTTTCTGCATGTTTTTTTGGTGATTTGTTATGATTTTGACATGTAAAAATTATGTTTTGTACATACGAATATATATACAAAATGTTTTTAATGTCAATGTAGTGTAAGAGGTTAAAAGAAGTAATTTGTAAACGATTTAAAAAATCGCGTTGTATTGTAAAATACGATGAGATTTATAAGCATAAGGCCCGCCTGGTATGATATGGTAAGCAGCTACCGCGGAAAGATATATAAGTTATATTCATTAATAATAATAATGAAATTAAATCCGTCCTTTAAAAGACTTAGAAAATATTAATAAGTAAAATATTTTTATATACATTTTTTTTTATATAAATGAGATTTTTGTAAATATATTTTTTTTATATTTGTACATCTGTTGGTAACTGTTGTTTAGTTTGTATAGATTTACTAAACTGTCAATTGTAGGTCACAATTTTTTATATGCATGTATTATAGGCAAATGAAGTGAGAGATATTTTGCGTTTGTAATAGTGTCTACATATAAAAATGGTAACATTCTGAAAACAACTATGTAAAAAAAAATCTGGTCCATAACATAAGGTAGCTAACCTTATGTTATGTAACACATTTGTTTTATATCTATTACAGGTAAATGAACTGAAAGACGTATTTCTGTTTATGGTTGTGTTACATTCAAGAGATATATGGTAAAATTCTGAATAAATCTCTATCTAAAAAAATGTGTTCCAAGACATAAGGTAGCTAACCTTATGTTATGTAACACATTTGTTTTATATCTATTACAGGTAAATGAACTGAAAGACGTATTTCTGTTTATGGTTGTGTTACATTCAAGAGATATATGGTAAAATACAGATAGAATCTCTTAAAAATCGGCAGCTATTCATAAAATTGTAAGACTCACATATATTGATAATCCTATGATATACTAAGATACACATATAGGAATTAAAAGAATCTTAAAGTTGTGTCACAATTTTTTTAGTCTATTTCTGTGTGATATAATGATAGAGTTTAGTCACATATCACAAATAAGAGCTTTAATTTTAGTTTTTGAATGTATTTTAATAGTTTTCTATGAGCAAGGCCTATTATATTCTTTATAAATGCGGCAAATGTATGATAATTGTATTTTTTAATAGATGATAATGGAATGGTGCACCCGCCTGCGCTAACGGTTTACGCTGGCGGGGCACCAGTGGAGGATAAGATGAGTATGAGGTCAGGTCAGTTTACACATCGTGGTAAATTCACCAGAAATTTATGATGGTTTCAAGAAGTATCCGTGTGGAGGTGAAACTGACATGGTACATTGCTACCAACGGGGTATTAGACCACATTACTAATAATCCCCCCTTCATATTTTTGATATTAGTGTTGTCCTGCTTTTGTACGCTATTTTCTTAGGAGTAAATCACCCTTCGATCAATTTCCCATCTAATTCAAACGGGGAACAGAGTTACGACGGCCCGAGCCGAGGTTCGAACCCCCTAGCGGTGCCCTCAGACTAAAGTCGTATCCGTCAGGCGGGAGTTGGCCTTCAGCCGCTCCATAAGTCCTTCCTTTGGTTTGGAGCGCCATCTGCACTCGCCCCCTATCGTCCGGTGAAGCTGTAAAGGCCAGCTGCGGCCAACAGCTGAGGTCGTCGTCTTCGCCGGCGAGGACAATGTCGTGTGTGTGTGTGTGTGTAAAAGTGTGGTCGGGGTGGAATTGGTAGGCCCGTGGGGCGGTTTATGAGGGGATGCCTATGAACGCCTGAAATACCACGTGGGCGTTGCCGACCCTTAAGAAACCTTAACATTCTTGAAAATAACTAATAGGAGCAGAGCAGCAAAGAAAATCTCAGAAATATGACGTAGATGAAATTGCGCGGGACAGCCAGTTAATATTAAAAAATACATGGGAATAAAACCTGTTTTAGCACAAGATTGGAATTTCTTTAGTGAAATTCGTTGTTTTACTTATTTAGACATTTCATATAAAAAAATTGTACAGAGCAAGAATCACTTGTGTAAAATGGCCGAGTTAGTAGTTCTTTTCTTCTTTCAGCATATATTTGTCCACTGCTGGACGTATGCCTCTTGCATAATTTTCCACTTCAGTCTGTCTGTGGCGTGTCTTCTCCAGGTCGGTCCTGCCGTCTTCCTGATATCATCGGACCATCTGGCAGTTGGTCTGCCTACGCTTCTGCTTCCCATCCTAGGTCGCCACATTAAGGATCTGTATGTCCATCTGTTGTCTTTGCTTTGCTTCGGCATACATGACCAGCCCAACGCCACTTTAGCTGCGCGATTCTTTGGATGATGTCGGTAACTCCAGTGCGCCTTCTGATCTCAGTATTCCGCAGTCTGTCTCGTAGGGAGATACCGAGCATAGATCGCTCCATTGCTCTTTGGGTGACTTGAGTTAGTAGTGAGTGACATTTATTATTCTTCCACCCGCAACAAAGTGTTACATTTTTGTCGCAACTTAAGAACACCTCCTTTTTCGAAGTCGTATAAAATGCGTTTGAAGGAATCTGCAATGTCTGTGTTGTGTCGTCACGTCTATGAAATCATATTTTCTGTTAAGTAAGAATTAAATATTAAATATAATATGAAATATTTGTTTTATATTATTTTGTAAAGTGTATAAATAAATCGTGATATTACGTCATATATAATATATATATATCTAAATGTCATGAACATATTTTTATTCGTTATCTGTTTATCCGAATTAGAAATTGAATTTCTATTGAAATTAATAATATTTTATGTAAATATTTTAAAACATGTGTTAAAAATGACAATTATTTTATTATTGTATAATAATTATTAACTTACATTTATTTTTTATACTGTCAATTAAAAGATCGTGATATTAAATATAAACTTGGTGCTCAAATATTTAAATCATAATTTTTAAAATACTGTTTATTTTTAAAATCTTATTAATTGAATCTCAATTTATTGTATTTTAATTGAACTTACGAGCTTAATGAATGTTTTTTTATACATGTGTATTATTAATATAATTATTATTTTTTAATTTCGTGTAATAATAAATGATATTTATAAATATTGTGCTCAAATATTAAAATCCTATAATTTAAAATTGCATTTTATTTCTATATATATCTATATGTTATTAATATTATAAATGCGAAAAATTTATAGAATGGATGGATGTTTGTTACTGTTTCACGCAAAAACTACTGAACGGGTTTTAATGAAACTTTACAGTAATATAGCTTATACATCAGAATAAAATATAGGGTATAATTTAAAATGATATGTAAAGTGGGCGAAATATAATGATAAATGTCATGTAATACACTTACATGACATTTATCATTATATTTCGCCTATTACACAGACGAAGTTGCGCGGGTTTACTAGTTATTTATATATTTAATCGAATTAGGTGTTGTTTTGCGGAAGTTTATTCTATTACTTGATGTATTTATATCATTTTGTTTAATTCCGCTACAATTACCATGTGTGATACCATAAATATTCAGTGTGGAAACTTGACTACCGTTACCACCTTCTCTAACGGTGATCAAATCCCTACCGTTATTGAGTCTACGCCCATATTGCGACACGTGTTTCGCCTCTGAACGAGGAGTGACTATTGTGTACATGTTTTATTTATCAGATGGTTTCATTCATATTTTTTTTTATAAGTCGTAATCGTCGTTTTTATAAACGATCGTAAACGTTAGTTTATAAAAAAATGTTAGACTAATATAAAGAAAACACTTTTTATTATTTTTTTATTGTATAATATAAATTATACAATTACAAAATTAGTAAATGCAGTTTTATTCTTGTATAACAGTTTTATTAAGCTACAAAATAAATATTTATTACATTATATTACTTAATTAAAATAAATTATATTACACTAAACTTAAATGTGACTTAAAGTAATTTGGTACATGTACAGTTAGCCCAAATTATTGTACAGTTTCCTACAAAAATATTGCTCTTTGTTAAAGTAAAATTTTATAGAAGCTGCAAAATAAATATCTATTACATTATGTTATTTAATTAAAATAAATTATATTACACTAAACTTAAATGTGACTTAAAGTAATTTGGTACATGTACAGTTAGCCCAAATTATTGTACAGTTTCCTACAAAAATATTGCTCAGTATTAAAGTAAAATTTTATTGGATTGTTTGGTTTTTGACTACGCAAAGGAAACTGCACCTTATTACAGATAAACATATGTATCTATAATGAAAAGCACTAGCACACATTCGAGCCAACTGTACATACCTAGAAAATGTAATTTATTAATAAATTAACAAAAAAATTTTTTGTTTCCTTCGATTTTTTTCGTTTCTACCTCCAATTAACGTATTGTTCAACAATGTTTCTCTAACAGCTTTTGTTTTTGAGTTACAGCTAACTTCCCTCATTTACTATGTTCAACTTAGATTCACGTTTTTTATTGGACACTGAAATATATTTAGATGTTGTTTTCGATATGGCTGACGAAGCCATATTGAAACAAGATGTTGTGTAATTAATCCCGATTATTTTTACTATATTTGTAGTGAATATGCACTTGTAAAATAAAACCTATATCGAACTATATTTTTTCTACAAAATTATAAAAAATTGAAGATATTAGCAATCTCCCAACATTGTCTATATACTCAGAGCCATAAAAATATCCAAAAATAGAAAAAAAAGTAAGGAAACAAGACTTGTTGATCAGTGAATTAATTTGACTTATTTATTTATATTAGTGTATTGTAAACAATATTTGAAAAGAATACGAGCTGAGTTTCTTGTCAGTTCTTCTCATCTCGATATCATTCCGAACTGACGGTAGATTTGACATATCATAAGAGTCTGTAATATACCTACATGAATAAAAATATATTGATTTTGAGTGTCAGTGTAGACTGATTTAAGTGCTTACACATAGTAGTTTGTGCGAATTTGACACTTTAATAAAAAGGAATAGGGTTCAATGTCACATGAATATCTGTTTAGTAACAGTTTGGTAGGTAGAGTATAGGAGTTTCATTACAAATTTAATAAAAAAAATACCAATATTACACAGATGTTTGTATGGTCAGATAGTTTTGTTGGTATAAATTGAAAGATATTTTCAAGTAGTCTCCACTTCAGCTTAAAGGAAATGAAAATGTAACTCGGTACGATAGGAAGACCTACATGTCTGTAATAGCCCTACATAAATGACCTATACTTTGACTTGATGGTATCTTACGGTAGAACGGTGGGGTTTTTTATCCATATGCATTGACAGTAATATGTTGACACCGTCTTATACTGTGCTCTGTAGCCTGGTGCGGTGACAGTTATTAAGTTCACATTTAACAATTGCTACATTTAAGTTAATACAGTTATTAAATTCAGAATATCTTTATTCATGTAGGTCTATTACAGACTCTTATGATATGTCAAATCTACTGTCAGTTCGGAATGATTTCGAGATGAGAACTGACAAGAAACTCAGCTCGTATTTTTTCAAATAAATGTTATACATGTTTACAATATTACAGATTAATTTTTAAATTCAAATAAGAGAATAAAGTGATCACATAGAGATTAATAATTCAATACATTACGAATATAGTACAGCTGAAATACTAGGTCATAATTTGTAAATCGCGGCAACTTTTAAGAGTGAAACGAAACGATAATGAAACTGTCACCCGCGCCATGTCACAGCGCACATTGTATAATGTTGTCATATACATATATAGTTCTATCATATACATATATATATGTTTTTATTTCATTCTCAAACGTCAATCCTTAGGGCAGGGCTTTTCTTCATTGTCTAACCTGAAAGATGACATTTCCAAAAACTTAAGTCGCTTATTACTATATTATGAACAATTTAAACATATAAATGTATATTTTAAACAAATTCCATTTAAACTACTCATTGAAACGTTTTATGAAACCATTTGTAAGCATCCAAGCTAAACTGAGCTTTAACCGTTACCATTCTAAGTACATATTTAGTTACAAAAGTTAATAATGATAGTAAAATTAATATATAAACATAATAGTCATATATTATGAATAAAATACATATAAAAAATATGTTAGTATTACAAAAATCTATCTTGTTATTTACTCTAATTATTTATTGTTAGAATTTAACTATATTTGTATAAGTAATAGAAATATTCTTTATCTACCTTCACGACTGATAACCCAGATGGGGTAGACTGAGTCAATGTCAACTGTTGACGTTATAATGAACGTAGTTATCTATACAAATAAATAAAAAAGAAGCGTCCTTTTAAGTTTCAGTTTTAAAATAGCTTTTCATAAATACCTTACATAGGAAAGTATAACGGTATTTAGAAAATTGTTTAAAATATCAAATAAATAGTTTTTCATTAAATACATGTGAAAGTATATACGGTACTTACAAAATATAATTCATAAAAATTTTGTCTGTATGTTTGTTCGTGCTAATCTCGGAAACGGCTGTACCGATTTCGACGGGACTTTCACTCGCAGATAGCTCATGTTATAAGGAGTAACTTGCGCTACTTAAATTTTAGAAAGTTTGTTACAAATATAAAATTATACAAATTTTTGTTATTATCCAGATTTGTACTCGGGTCCTTTAGGTCAAGTCGGGGTAGTTAAACTACTAAGCTGTGATCATACATATACTACATACGTAGTCATACATGTTTTAGGAGTAATGTATGTAAGTAATACATGTAAGTATAAATTATTGTAAAATTAGTGATACTACATTAAAATTTATCTACTACTGCCAATATTTACAAAATAATTAATATAATATTTAATTAATACATATATATGTAATATTATGTAAACAAACAGACAGTCAAGTATGAAATGATATTATTTCTAACATAAATACTTGTTTAGTTTTAAACCTTGAAATTTTTGATTTGATTAAATGTATTGGTTTATAATTAAAACTGATTAAATTATTCTTATCATTTCACTCAACTCTCTTAGTTTCAGTTACATTATTTATAATTATTCTTTAATAATAATATTAATTAAATATATAAATGTTTATTACAGTAACATTTTTACGTAGTTAATAATAAAAATTATAAATAAATTAAATAATATAATTAATTACATTTTCTAAGTACATATTTAATAAATTATTAGTTAGTAGTTAATAAATATTATATTATACTTTGTTTTTCTAGCTTTTTTAAATTATATATATAATTATTTATATTATTATATGTTATACGTCTATTTAGATTTGTGTATCTACGTACCTACTATACAGAATTAGCCGTAAAGTTTATAACAAACCGAAATCCAGTAGAATAGAATAGAATAGAAAATCATTTATTCAAATAAACTTACATTGAAGCACTTTTGAATAGTCATTACATTTTTTAATCTACCGCACATTCGGAAAGCTGTCTCATCACAAGAAGAACGAGCAAGAAACTTGCGTGTTGCTCTTTTAAATAATTTTATTATTACTTTACATTAGTATTCATAAATCTAAACATAATCTACCTAAGAAGTATTTTTTTTTACTTACGGACTGAATAAAATATATATCATTGCATTATAAATTCTTTTATTTAAAAAAAAATCCACGCGGACGAAGTCGCGGGTGCAGCTAGTAATTAGGGATTGCAATCCGGCCTCATTTTCAATCCGGTCGGATCCGACCGGATTTCCATCAATCCGGTCGAGTGCGGCCGGATTGATCTAACTATACTCTATCTGTGGGTTTATGTATTTAACTAAATGTAAACAAAACAACCATACTTAACCTAAAAATTGATAGTTGATAGATAGTGCTATGATAGTTTTATATATATCGCACTCATAAAATCACTACATAGTATAAAATAACGTCGCTGTCGCTGTCTGTCCGTCCCTATATATGCTTAAAACTTTAAAACTACGTAACGGATTTTGAAGTGGTTACCAATAGACAGAGTGATTCAAGAGGAAGGTTTATATATGTAATACAAGTACACCCGTGCAAAGCCGTGGCGAGTAGCTAGTATTTAAAAAAAAAGCAACACGCAAGTTCATTCTTCTCGTAATGAGTTCACGTTCCAATTGAGTGGTTGAATAAAAGATTTGACTATTCAAAAGTGCTTGTATTGAGTTTATTTGAATAAATATTATTTATTCTATCCTGAAGGTTTAGATTAATAAGAATTATACTTGGTTTTCAGTTTATACGTTTAACAACTAACCCTGTTTTTTTAAACTTTAAAGTATATTAAAACGCGTTAACTTTACGTCAGTTAACACGATGACTAGAAGTGATAATAGGTAAGTTGATGTCAGTGTTAGATATAATTTCAAAATAATAACGGCCTCGGTGGTGTAGTGGTCTAGCATACCGCTATACGACCGACGGTCGCGGGTTCGATTCCTCGCACGGCACAAAAATTTGTATTCATGAGTATGATTGTTTGTATCGGTCTGGGTGTTTACGTATAATATGTATGTAATTACAAAAAAAAAATCTATGTATATGTATCAGTTATCTAGTACTCATAACACAAGCTCTAGCTAGCTTAACTTGGGTCTAGATGGCGCTGTGTGTGTCCTGAGATTATTATTATTATTAATAATAACAATTATGCCCATTGTAAACTGCACTGGGATATAACAATAATTACTGACAAAACCGTCACAATACACCTGACATAACATTACACGACAAAATCAACAAAAAAATATATCTTGTAGATAAACTGTGTGTATAAGTGTGATTAGTAAATCACGTGATCTTACCACGTTTTATTTTTGTTGAGTTCCCGATATCTGGGCAGTGTTTCAACGGCCATGATCACGGGTACGCTATGCGTAAAATTAAATTAATTTATTAATTTAATTTAATTAACAGAAACTGAAAAATGGACTTTAAAGATGAGGAATGTCGAAATCTATTTTTAATAGAAGTACGAATTGTGTTTATTGTATTCACTCGTTAAAATTCAAATCAAATAAAAACATATCTTTATTCATGTAGGTCTATTACAGACTCTTATGATATGTCATATCTACCTAGTCTATCGTCTTACTTTGCCTATATGTCGGCAAAGTGCGACAAATCTTCATTGACGTTGAATGTATGTAGTATTGGGGACTGAAAAATGTCCTATATGAATCATTTCGATATTATCTCTGTGTTTATTCGTCCTAACTCCAAATCTCATCAACTTAGACTTTTTATATATCATCTAATAGACGTATAACAATACATATATAATATTATATCTACTTATATACAAACATATAAAAAAAAGTGTAATACAATTTTTTTACACACCAATTAAAAAATAAAGTTTTATACAATTTATTATATATCATAAACAAGCTATAAATTATTTATATAGAGTTAATGCATTGTTACTATTTTTATAACACGTATATATATATAAATATATAGACATATAGGGATGATCGATATTAGAAAAACGTCGACGTTCATATCGATTCGTTATATCGCTAGGGGTTTTTTTGAAAGCTCGCATTTTTATGTTCTTAATTTTTTTGTCTTATTTTTATTTTATCGAGAACTTAATTGGCCGATTTTATCGACATTTTTCGATAAAAAATCGATTATCTCTATTAACATTATATCTGAGAAATATATTGAGTAATTAATTATTAGAAGTTACAAAGATGTTTCCGATATATCGATCTTAACATCGATATTTTTCGATAATGCATCGAATACTATCGGTTATCCCTATACTCATCATATCTAAGAAATCTATCGCGTTATTAATTATTAGTAATTACAAAATTATATCCGATATATCGATCTTAAAATCGACAAAGCATTGATGATTATGATGATATATCGAACTTAACATCGATATTTTTCGACATAGCATCGATGAATATATAATTAGATATGTTTTGTAATGTATGTGTGTATATGTACGTATATGTATTTTGTTTTTATATATGTTAATAATAGTTGACAATCAATTTTCTTTCTTTCAATATCAACCATCCCTATTACCTGAAGATGCTATTAGGTGGAAAATTATTAGATTTTACAAAGATGTATCCGATATATCGATATTAAAATCGTTATTTTTCGATTAAGCATCGATAACTATCGATTATCCCTATTAACATCATATTTGAGAAATATATTGAGTGATTAATTATTAGAAGTTACAAAGATGTTTCCGATATATCGATCTTAAAATCGATGTTTTACGACACCATCGATAACTATCGCCCATCCCTATCACCATTATATTTGAAGATGCATTAATCATAAATTACAAAGATATATTAACCATACGTGTGATCAAGTGATTTACTGGACCCTGGAGCGTACTCCTGCTCGCTGTAAGGTCCTTGGTAGGACGCTGACTTGTAACTGGAGGCAGAGACGGCCGCGTCAAGTGGAGACCAGCTGGGGCTGTATGAGGACTGCCCGTGGTACGAGTGAGGATGGATTTCTGGAAGTTACAGTCAAAGTAAAACGTAAATAAAAAATATTTGAACAATTAAAACAGCGCCATCTAGTCCCACGGTAAGCAGAGCTTGTGTTATGGGTACTAGACAACTGATATAAATACATAGATAATTTTTTTTCTAAATATATAATGCTACGTTTACATTCAGCCGCTTCCCCTGCCACTCGCGCTGCCGGAAATATAGCCGGGCGACAACTGAGCGAGAGGGCTGAATGTAATAACACGCTGCCACTCGCGCTGCCAGTCCTTTGTCTCGCGCACGAAAAACCGACAATCGAGGGAGCGCCGGGCAGCGCGAGTGGCAGTGCCAGTGGCATGGGAAGTATCGTGTTTACACTCTCGCTCTGCTCACTTCCCTGCCCACTCGGGCTGAATGTAAATTGGGCGTTATGGGTACTAGACAACTGATACAAATATATAGACTTATTTTTATAAATACATACATAATATACATAGAAAATATATATAAACGGAAAAACAATCAAAGTAAATAAAAAAGAATAATTGTTGCCTCTTTTCTTTGTCTATGTTGTATGTTTATGTATACAATAAAACATATTTATATATTAACGAGCTACTAGCCTTGGTTTCGCACGGGTGTACATGTATTGTACATATAAACCTTCCTCTTGAATCACTCTATCTATTAAAAAAACCGCTTCAAAATCCGTTGCGTAGTTTTAAAGATGTAAGCATACATAGAGACAGACAGCGACTTTGTTTTATATTATGTAAAGGGCCATCCATTAATCACGTGATTTTTTTTAGCATCTTTCAACCATCCCTCCCCCATTGGTGAGACGTAGTGAGGTGTAGGACAACCTCGCCCCCCCCCCCCGTCTCCCCAACATCACGTGTATTTTTAGTCCCTGCGAAAAATTTTTAGAATATCATCTTTAAATACAGGTATGAACCATAATTCTATTTTACTCTGAAATTAAGGACCATGATAAAAATGTCTAAACTAGCTTGCAGGTTGTTTTTTTTACACTTCCCCACCCCCTTGTGATATTTCGTGACCCCCCCCCCCCTTTCAAGCCTCACGTGATTAATGCACAATCCCTAATTATCGCGGCTGATGTACTACATAATGTATTTATAATTAAAAAAAATGTGATAATAAAATCAATAGACATACAAATATAATAAAAAAAAAAGTAGTTAAGGATTAATAAGATACGTCGAAATCTAACCTACTCACCACATGGAACATAATGGAATTGCTTATAAAAGAAACCATATTGATGTATTTACAGATATCTTACCTAAATCTCTTATACCTCTGTGATGACCTGCAAAAAACAAATACCACAGAGTAAAAAAGACTGTATTTCATAGTTTTTTAATCCATTTACCATTGTCTATTGCATTCCATAATGTTACAAGGTTAGTAGGTTACATGTAAGTAATAACTAAACTAATAAAATCGCACTATTGAGTTATTTTTTTTAGAGATGTAACAGATATTCGGTACCTATCCGGTTCAAATTTTAAATCCGACCGAATACCGGATAAGAAACGAGTATCCGGCCGGATAATGCATTTTAGATAAATACGACATTTTTCTTAAAATCCAAATTCAAATTGACCTAGTTGGTACTCTAATTATTAATATAAATTAAATTTTAAAAATTATTTTCAGTGTACCAAACAAACAATTTTCTTTCTTTCATTTTCTTTAAATTCTACCATTTTTCTATTTTTTTTCCTAATACTTTTTTTTTCTTTCAAACCAGTTTTTTGGCCAAAAAAAGTTGGCATCCCTAGTTCCGCCGGATATTCGGGTATCCGACATGAAGGTTTTTCCGAATATTCGGTAATCGGTATCCGGCACATCAACTATCCGTTTCATCTCTATATATTTATTTTTATACCAATAGTAGGCCCGGCAGACTTCGACCTGTCCTGAAGAGCAGCGCCATCTACCGGTTCTAATTATATTTACAATACATTGAAATATGCATACAAAACTTCATCTAAATCGGTCCAGTTTAGGTCCTCATGCTCATCTTATCCTCCGCTGGTGCCCCGCCAGCGTATACCGTTAGCGCAGGCGGGTGCACCATTACATTATCATCCATAAAAAAAATTACTCTAAATCCACCACATGTATGACAGTCTCGGTGGTCTAGCGGTTTACGGGATAGTCGCGAGTTCGATTCCTCGCATGTTACAAACATTTGTATTCATGAGTATGATTGTCTATATCGTTGTAAGCGTTTTGTATGTATATTATGTACGTATTTACACAAAAAAATGAATTTGTATCAGTTGTTACAAGCTCTGCTTAGCTTGGGACTAGATGGCGCTGTGTTAATTGTCCTGAAATATTATTAATTATTAATAAGCCACTATATAATAGTAAATGAGTGGGGAAAGGAGTTTGTTAGTAATGTGGACTGATGATCCCATAGCTAGCAATATACCAGGTCGACCTCCACGTGGTCCCCCCTGGAAACCATCGTGATATATTCCCGTTGAATTTGTCACGTTGGGCTAACTGATCTGACCTCATGTTCATATTATCATCCTCCACAGGTGCCCCGCCAGCGTAAACCGTTAGCGCAGGCGGGTGCACCATTCCTTAATCATGCTTTAAAAAAAATTGTAAGAAGACCTTAAGTACATACCATGGTGTTCGAAATGCTCATGGTGCGGTATGTAGGAGTAATCATGTTGACCATGGTCCTTGACCCTCCACGCTGTGAAGTATGATGCCACCTGTGAAAGAAAAAAATGTCAAAAAACAATTGTCACAAAGACCAAAAGCTTCAATTTTAAAATTAGTTATTTATATAGAAATCCATAATAACACTACATTTAATATTAAAAAAAAAACTCTATTAATTTCAGATCACCTATAAATTACGTGAGACGTTGAAGGGGGAGAGGGGGTCGAGTGAAATATCATATAATCTTACGTTGGAGGTTTTTTTTGACGTTTCTCTGCACCACTCATCGTTGCCTGGTACATAACGACGCGTGGTATTAAGTCCGCCATATGCACACATTGTTTTTGTGTATTAAAGTTAAATTAATCACTATGACTGATTTCCTCTTATTAATTAATATGACGACCTCGGTGGTATAGCGGTTAGCACACCGCTTTACGATCGATGGTCGCGGGTTCGATTCATCGCACGGCACAAACATTTGTATTCATGAGTATGATTGTTTGTATCGGTCTGGGTGTTTTCTATGTATACTCGTAATAAGTATGTATTTACAAAAAAAAAATATCTATGTATATGTATCAGTTCTCTAGTACCCATAACACAAGCTTAAGCTAGCTTAACTTGGGTCCAGATGGCGCTGTGTGAATTGTCCTGAGATTATTATTATTATTATAATTGTTTAACCAGTTGGTTATATATTCAATATTTTTTATATTTGAGTATTTAATTGAATTAGTGCTAATTGGTGGTTTGTATTCACACACTTAAACTTAAAAATGTAAAGTAATAATAAAATTATTTAAAAGAGCAACACGCAAGTTTCTTGCTCGTTCTTCTTGTGATGAGACAGCTTTCCGAACGAGCGGTAGATTAAAAAAAATGTAATGACTATTCAAAAGTGCTTCAATGTAAGTTTATTTGAATAGATGATTTTTTTTTATATCATAATTTTAGCGCGTTTGACCGCAATCTCACCTGATGTTAAGTGATGATGTGGTCTAAGCTGTTACACTAGCTGTTACATTTTCTATTCTATTCTATTCTAATAAAGAAATAAAAAAAAAAGACGTTACCACACACCACGGTCTTGGAAGTTGGTTAAAATAAAATAATAGTACGCGTACAGATTCAATATTAACACATAAATTCTGCCAGTCACTTTGTTACAACAAGTAAAACAAATTTTCATATTGATGTAGGCGATTAAGTTTGGTATGGGATAATTTTTTCAACGTCCGCAGACTCAAAACGAATGTATTAAAGGTTTTTGATTACTTGGAAGCAGGTACAGTCGGCTTCATATAAATATTATACGATAAAATAATCTATATACATATAATTATTACATAGTACAGGATGTCTTTTTTTTTCGGACTACTCTAATGCTGTTGGCCGCAGCTGGCCTAAGTAATGAAAGCTATAAAATCAAAATAAAAAATCATTACTCGATTTTTTTGGGAGTACGTACCCACAATGACATATTTTGTGTAGATATTTTTTTTATGGACGACAATGTAATGATACACCCGTTATACGGACTACTCTAATGCTGTTGGCTTCAGCTGGCCTTTACAGCTTCACTGGACGTTAGGGGCGAGTGCAGATGGCACTCAAAACCCGCGGAAGGACTTATGGAGCGGCTGAAGACCAACTCCTGCCTGACGGATACGACTTTAGTCTGAGTGCACCGCTAGGGGTTCGAACTTCGGCTCAGGCCGTCGTAATTTCGATCCCCGTTTGAATTAGATGGGGGATCGATTGGAGGGTATATACAGAATGTCCTCAGAAACGTTGTTAAAAAATATCCGTAACCGTAACCGTAACTGTCGGATATCCGATATAAAAAATATCCGTAACCGTAACCGAATCCGAAATAAAAGTTTCGGATAATATCGGATAGGTACGGAGCCTCATTGAGACACGTTATGTAACCATTTTAATAGCTATTTGTATTACTTTTGATATTCCTTAAAAAATAAGATCCGCAACCGAAACTAACCGATAATCCGAAATAATTTTATATCCGCATCCGTATCCGTATCTGATATTCCATATCCATAACATCCCTGATATTTAGTATGAGCATTGCACCAATGCGGGGCGCGCGGGGCGGGCCGCTAGTATATTATAAACTTAAAATATGCGGCTGAGTGTACACGTTTCAATCACTTCCTTAATTGAATCCGATCTTAATTTTGTGATACATTTCAAACGCAATAAAACCACTTTTTTCGATTTCTCTTTTACATTTTATATGTTGTACTTATATGTACATAAGTACTTACATATCTTATATATAACATTCTCGTGTCACAGTTTTCGTTTCCATACTCCTCCGAAACGGCTTGACCGATTCTCATGAAATTTTGTGAGCATATTGAGTAGGTCTGAGAATCGGCCAACATCTATTTTTCATCCCCCTAAATGTTAGGGGTAGTCCACCCCAATTTTTTTTTTATTTTAAGGCAAAACAACGTTTGCCGGGACAGCTAGTATATGTATTATATGATAGCCTCGGTGGTCTAGCGGTTTAGCACACCGCCTTCCTTCCGATAGTCACGGGTTCGATTCCTCGCACGGTGCAAATATTTGTATTCATGAGTAATATTGTTTGCATCGGTCTACTGTATATTTCCTATGTATATTTTTTTTTGGCATGATAATGTAATGATGCACCTTCCTGCGCTAACGGTTTACTCTGGCGGGGCACCAGTGGAGGATGATAAGATGAGCATGAGGTCAGATCAGTTAGTCCATCGTGACAAATTCATCAGAAATTTATCACGATTGTTTCCAGGGGGAACCGCGTGGAGGTCAACCTGATATGGTACATTGCTCGTCGTGAGTCCGCATAACTAACAATCCCCTCCTATGTAAATATGTATTTACAAAAAAATGTATTTATATCAGTTGTCTAGTACTCAAAACATAAGCTCTGCTTAGCTTGGGACAAGATGGCGCTGTTTGAATTAGGAGTAGGAATCGAACCCGCGATCATCGGAGGTAAACCGGTGTGGTCAACCGATAGGCCACCGAGGTCATCTATTTTAAAAATGTTTAAAATTAATTTCATTTCAAACAAAGACGATTTATATTGTAATTGTTTATTATAATAGACACAATTAGGGAAGGGGAATGTTACTAATGTGGGCTGTAGACTCCATTGCTAGCAATGTACCATGTCAGGTTGACCTCCACGAGGTTCCTTCTGGTAACCATTATGATAAAGATAATAAGATCCTGGTAAGTTTGTGACTAGGTGCTAACTGACCTGACCTCATGCTCATCCTATCATCCATTGGTGCCCGTAGCGTATACCATTAGCGCAGACATGGTGCATCATTCCATTATCATCCAATAAAAAAAAAAAGATATTATTAAATATCATGACAAAAATATCAATCGTCTACCGGTGAACTGCCAGCGTAAAACTTAGCGCAGGTGGGTGCATCATTCCGTTATCATCCAATAAAAAAAAAAAAAGATATTATTAAATATCATGACAAACATATCAATCGTCTACCGGTGCCCCGCCAGCGTAAAACTTAGTGCAGGTGAATGCATCATTCCATTATCATCCAATAAAAAGATAGATATTATTATTAAATATCATGACAAAAATATCAATCGTCTACCGGTGCCCTGCCAGCGTAAAACTTAGTGCAGGTGGGTGCATCATTCCATTATCATCCAATAAAAAGATAGATATTATTATTAAATATCATGACAAAAATATCAATCGTCTACCGGTGCCCCGCCAGCGTAAAACTTAGTGCAGGTGAATGCATCATTCCATTATCATCCAATAAAAAGATAGATATTATTATTAAATATCATGACAAAAATATCAATCGTCTACCGGTGCCCTGCCAGCGTAAAACTTAGTGCAGGTGGGTGCATCATTCCATTATCATCCAATAAAAAAAATAGATATTATTAAATATCATGACAAAAATATCAATCGTCTACCGGTGCCCCGCCAGCGTAAAACTTAGCGCAGGTGGGTGCATCATTCCGTTATCATCCAATAAAAAAATAGATATTATTATTAAATATCATGACAAAAATATCAATCATCTACCGGTGCCCCGCCAGCGTAAAACTTAGTGCAGGTGAATGCATCATTTCATTATCATCCAATAAAAAAATAGATATTATTATTAAATATCATGACAAAAATATCAATCATCTACCGGTGCCCCGCCAGCGTAAAACTTAGTACAGGTGGGTGCATCATTCCATTATCATCCAATAAAAAAAATAGATATTATTATTAAATATCATGACAAAAATATCAATCATCTACCGGTGCCCCGCCAGCGTAAAACTTAGTACAGGTGGGTGCATCATTCCATTATCATCCATAAAAAAAAATGAAAAAAAAAACATCACATTAAAATAAGTAGTTATTGAAAAAGGTTTCCACAATATTTACTAATATCATAATTATTGAAAAATTTAATATCTCCTTTGAATTTCTTTCTTTGAAATTGAATGTCTATACAAGACACGTAAGTACTAACATCTGAACGTCGGACTCTCAATGAACACCTACTGTGTCGTAAAATTGTTTAATTTGTTCCCAATAATAACCGAGTGAAGAGTGTAAAAGGATAAAAACTGAAACATCAAAAAAACTGTGAGAAGCGTACGTTTTTGCAATGTGACACCGAAAGTAACCAAGCAACCTACTTAAGTGTGAGTTTTCGTTGCAATTTGCCACGGAAGTGGGTTTTTGTCTGTAATTTCAAAATGGAAGCTATCTACATTGCTAAAACTGGCCAAGCGTAGCGGAATACACTAAAAACTTGTTGAAAATAAGTTTGTTGACACGTTAGAATAAGATGACAATGAGTGCTAGGTAACAAGATCAGAAAGTTCAAGATCATACTAATATTATAAATGCGAAAGTTTGCGAGTATAGATCTCTTTAACAAACAGATGAATAAACAACCCTGGACAATTAACACAGCGCCATCTAGACCCACGGTAAGCAGAGCATGTGTTATAGGTACTCAACTGATATAAATATTTAGATGTTCTTTT